ATCGTTTTTACCGTTAACCAGCTGTCGCACCCCTACGAACGATAACCCTCACAAATTGAAACTTGTGCGAGCTAAAACTAACGAGGTCTTACCTTTTAACGTGTGATTCCTAACACGGGTTGGACGATGACAAGTGAATATTGAGCGTTCAGCCTGGGGCTTGAACCATCGACTCACACATCGGCCGATTGACGGAGTGAACAAAGCATCCACGTAGAACTGCACGGCTACCGACCGACGGGCGATGTGTGAGTCGATGGTTCAAGCCCCAGGATGAACGCTCAATATTCACTTGCCATCGTCCAACCCGTGTTAGGAATCACATGTTAAAAGGTAAGACCTCGTTAGTTCTTAGCTCGCACAAGTTTCGATTTCTGAGGGATATCGTTCATAAGGGTGCGATAGCTGATTAACGGAAAAACATATTTTGAACATTTTTTAATGGTGGTTATCGGGTCCATAAGCCTTGGGAACCAGTAAATTTTATCTCTTCTTCAGATTTTTCGAGATTTCCTTCTACCCAATTGTATACTTCTTTTCTCTTTTTCTTTTTTTCAAGTCGTTTTTGTATTGTTGATATGGGTATATTATCATCTGAAGAATCAAAGTCATCAAATTCTCGATTCATGATACTGGCAAAATCATCGTCTAAGGGAGTTTCTCCAAAATTACCATCCACAGGTAATTCAACACCTAAAAGGGGTTCATCATCCTCATCAGACAGCAAAGCAAAGAGTAAATGGACAGCAAAGATCACCCCAAGCGTGACAAATGAAATTTCTAACAAAAGTGAACTTGAAGACTCCTAATGTACTCGTTGATAAAATAGTCCGGCCGTGATGTGTATGAGATAGATTGGTTCGTGCCAGATATGGTCATGTATGAAATGACGACAACATTCGTTCTCAAGTATTATAAATCAAATAAAAAAACTGAAACTTTTCAGTTCATCCCGATAAGTTACTGCGTAAATTCAAAGTATTTTCACAAAAAAATGTTCTATTTATCAGTAACCTGTCATATTTGATAATTTTTCCTATGAAAAAACTTATCCCGTAGGTTGATAGCCACTTGTGGAGAAATGCAAACATGGACTGGAAGATTATGGTCCCATGATGCCAATGGCAGCGAAATAATATTACGAGATTTCGGTTACCCTATGCACCTTGGTCCTATTGGAAGTTTAGCCATCTGTCGCTGGAAGCCGATTGTGTTAACATCCGGTAAGGATTGTGATTTTTCTACAAAAGTAAAAGTATTACCAAAAATTTTTGTTGCTCTCCCTCACTCTCCATATGAATCAGCAAACTAATCACAGTGAGTTTAAAAATGATACTGTTACAAAATCCCTAACGCCGCAGCTGACTACAGTCACCCAATTCGACGAAGGGACCTCTACCTGAGCATGACGTCACACGCGCGTTGCCTCCCTAGGCGGTAACTGGAAAAGTCTCGAAAAGAATTCCAACATCGATCCTGAGAGCGAAACATCGCGATGGATATGGAATTTCTAGAAATTCTAGATGCATCGATCTTACTATAAAAGAGCGAGTTCCTTCGGCAAGAGTAGTAGTAACAAAGTGTTCGAAGTCTCAAGCAAGCGAGTATTCTAAGTGAATTCTAATCAGTACAGCAGTTGTGTATTAAGTAAATAAAAGTTGTCTATGTATTATTAGTGTTGTTGTTTTAAAAACGAACCCCAAGTAAATATCGTAACAATACGTTGTCATAAATTCAGATAGTCATCCTCATCACCAGTCGAAATAATATCTGAAAATTCGAAACAGATCGAAAATCAATCGTGTTTGACAAAATGGCTGAGGCTTTCAAGGCCGAGGTTTTCAATGTCACTATTTTTATACTGGTTTGAAAG